GCTGCAGCCCCGGGCGCTCTGAGCCCCGTCCCGCCCGTGGCGCTGCCGGGGGCCCGCTTGGCGGCAGGCAGGTCCCCGCCGGCGCCCGTCTCCACGTGTCCCCCCGTGTCCCCGCGGCGGCCCCATGGGTGTCCTGAGCTGCGTCAAGTACCTGATGTTCATCTTCAACGTGCTGGTGTTTGTGAGTGCCGCGGCCGGCGGGGCGGGACGAGGCCCGGGGCTCTCCCCGAGGGTGGCCCCCGTCGGGGTGTCCCCGGGGCCCGGTCCCGCTGCGCGTGACCGCCGCGTGTCCCGCAGGCCGGCGGGATGTGCCTGGCCGGCGTGGGCGCCTGGGTGGCCGCGGACCCCGCTGGTTTCCAGGACATCGTGGCCACCAAGGCGGTGCTGAGGGCGGGCGCCTACCTGCTGCTGGCYGTGGGCATCGCCCTGGCGCTGCTCGGCTTCCTGGGCTGCTGCGGCGCCCTGCGCCGGAGCCGCCCGCTGCTGCTGGCGGTGAGCGGGCGCCGGGGGCGCGGGATGGGGCAGAGCCGGGAACTGCCCGTTCCGAGGCGGCCGCCTCGATTCCTGGGGCGCTCCCCGTGTTTCCGAGGCTCCCCGGAGCCGGTGCCCGCTCGCCCTGCGCCTCCRCGCACGGTCCCAGGGGTGCGGGGGGCACCCGCGGGGCGGGAGGAGCAGCCGGAGCGGCTGCAGCCCGGCCGCCTTCTCACCCGCCCGTGCCTCTGCCTCRCAGTTCTTCATCCTCGTGAGCCTCGTCTTCGTCACGCAGCTCGTGGGCGCTGTGCTCTTCCTGGTGCACTGGAAGGAGGTACCGTGCCCTGGCCCTGCGGCTGTGCCCGTCCCTGCGAGGCGGGAGCTGCTCGGGGATGTCCTGCCTCCCCCTCGCCTTCATCGTGAGCACCCTGGGGTCTGGCCAGCTCTGCCCTGTGGCGGGGGGGTCCCCGTGTCCCCTCGTGGGGCGCTGCCTCGCTGGGGCTGCGCTGGGTGCGGGTGGGCACGGGGGTCCCGGTGGCCCTGGGGCGCCCGCAGAGCACCCGGCTCCCGCAGATCAGCCCAGAGCTCTTCCTGGCCGAGCTGCGGAGGAACTACTGCGGGGACGAGGGCGCCGAGGTCTTCTCCACGGCCTGGAACACCCTCATGATCACGGTCAGTGGCCGGGGGGTGGCCCCCGGGCTGCCGAGGGCTGGGGAGCACCCATGGGCCCTGCTGAGGCCCGAGGGGCACCCAGCGTGTGGGGAACCCACTCACGGACCCCACAGAGCGGCCCAGCCGCCGCTTGGCTTTGCCCCCGCCGGGATGTCCTCGCGGAGCGGGGCCCTGGCGTTTGGGCAGCCCCTTGACGGCCCTTCCTTTCCCTTGCAGTTCTCGTGCTGTGGCGTTTCAGGGCCTGAGGACTTCGGGAACAGCTCCCGCTTCCAGGAGCTGCAGCCGGGCTCGCCGTGGCCGCGCGCCTGCTGCACCCGCCACGGGCTCCTGCAGGCGGGCGAGCTGCTGGGCTGGGAGCGCTGCCGCCAGAGGCGCCCGGGCTACGTCCACGAGCAGGTCCGCGCCGCCCCCGCCCTGCCCGCGGGACCCCGTGGAGCCAAACTTCCCAAATTTCCAGCTCATCCCGCCCCGCTGCAGCGCTCCCTGCCCCGTCCTGCTCCCCCCAGACCTTAGCGTCTCTCCCAAGCGGGAGGCAAGAAGCCCAAGGGAGCCGCTGAGTCTTCTCCCCGCACCCTAGGGCTGCTTCTCCGCCATCGGCGGGACCTTGCAGAAATACACGTCCGTCCCCGGCGCCACCAGCCTGGCCGTGCTGGCCATCGAGGTACCGAGGTGCCACCCGGAGGTGGCCGCGCGGGGAGCCGTCACCCCGCGGGGCTCTGCGCCCGCCGAGGCGCCCACACGGAGCCCCCGGTGCCCCCCGGGGCCACCGTGCGGGCTGCGAGGCTGCCCCCGCCGCTGCAGAGGGTGACGGAGCGGGGGCTCCCGGCCTGGGCGCAGCACGGGGTGCTGGCGCTGCCGCCGCGCGTGCCCGACCAAGGGAGGCTCTGCCTCTGAGCGGCCTCCGCACTGCTGGCCTCGCCGTGCAGCCGCAGGGAGCCGCGGCCCCGTCCCCCCGCGGCACCGGGGCCCTCGCGCGCTCCCGCGGCCGCCGCGACTCCGGCCCTGCGGCCACGGCCGCTCCTCCCGCTGCAGATCTTCGCCATGTTCTTCGCCTTTTGCCTCTACTACAACTTCGACTGAGCAGGACGCGGCGAGCGAGCGGCGGCCCGGACCCCTGCTCTTCCCAGAGCCCAGCTCTTCCACCCGCGCTCGCTTCCCRCAGCAGGCAGCAGCCCGGCCTCCTGCCGCTGCTCCGTGGCCCCGAGCGCTCGCTTTCCTTGGAGCAGGGGCAGGACACAGGATCGATTCCACACGGACAACCCCGCGCCCTCACTGGGGTGGAGTTGCCGCCGTTCTGGGCTGCAGAGCAGCTCCCGTGCACCTCCCGCTCAGCTTCTGCTTTGACGCAGGGGATCCCAGCCTCCTTCCCCACGGCGGTGCTGCCGAGCCCAAGCTCCATGGGCTTTTCCAGCTCTGCTTTCTGCAGCGTGACAAACCAGCAGAGAAACGCACAGAAACCAAAGCTGTGTTTTATTTATGAGAACTATTCACAAAATGGAGGAAACAGAGAAAATTAAACCGGCTACAGAGCCATCAAAAGATTTAGTTCTAACTAAATAAAACTCTAGGAGAACAGAGCAGTGCACAGCCATGAAAACCACTTAGGGATCCAGGCGAGATTTCTTCTCCTTCTCAACAATATTACTCCCTTTCCTTTTTGGAGCGGTGGGTTCTTGGGAGCTGGCTTCACTTTGGTTTGTCGTCTCCTCCAGGGCTTTGGATGCCTGAGATAGGAAGAAATAAACGGAGCAGGTTTGAAGAATTGAGGTTTCCAGAGCTGCGCGTTGCCGGCACTGCGGGGCTGTGTGCACCTCAGAACACCCTGCGCAAAGACCAGAGTGTTTTTGCTCGCAGCGTTTATGCAGCAACCCTTAATTATCCTGCTCCCACCGCTGGAGCTTTGGGGAAGGGGAAAGGAAGAGCACATCCAGCCTCTGTATGGGAGATTTCACAAGGAAATACAAAATACAAGGGAAGTAGAGGGGGATTTTTGACAAAAATATGCAGTTTTGCCTGGAAGTACTAGGAACATTTATGAGTAAATATAAGACACAAGGTGAAGAGACCCACACGGCCCCGGGTTTCTGTGTGTCGCCCTGCAGCAACGCGCTTGGCAGGGGTGCAGGAGCGAGCACCAGCCTCAGAACCTTCGGGTTAATAACCAAAGCCAAACCAAACCTTTCCCTTCTGGGAAAGCACCTCATCCAAATGAGCTGTAGGGAAAGAAAGCAGCCAGGAGAAGGCCCAAACAGAAGCTTCCAGAGGCTTTTCAGAGCAGCTTTATTGCTGCTTAAATGCAATTTATTTTTACGCCAGTCTATGAGACAGGTCAGAGGGCAGAACAGAGACAAGAAAATAGGAAGGGTGACAGCAGGAAGGCTGCTTTCCACGGGGGATTAGGGAGACCAGTCAGTGTTGGAGAAGATGTTTGCAGGAGGAGGAAGAGGTGGAAGAGAAACATGAGGAGGAGGAGGAGGAGAACAGCACTAGCTGAGCCCGAGGCACAAGTGCAGTGGAAAAACGCTGGAAGTCTCGCCTAGCTGGAGGGCCTGGGGAGCAGAAATGGCACGTGAGCCGCTCCGTGGCCAAGGCAGCAGCTCCACCTGCTGTTACCAGCTCACGGGTACTGGGCTCAGCTCTCCCCAGCGAGCTGAACGTCTGCCTGGCAACAGACGGGGAGGCTGGAAGAGAAGGGGAAGCCAGAACACAGCCCTTCGAGGCTGCATTCACTGCATCAGATATTGCAAAGTTAAACTAATCATCTTTAATAAGGGTAATAAAAACCATCGTCCAAGAATAGAGAGAGGAGGGGGAAAGAGAGCTGCTTAGGAGAGACTCACAAAATTATTGTAAGAAAGGCAAATTGAGGCCAGAAACTGCTTCCTGGGCTCAACGCAGCAGGACAGCGTCACGTTTCTTACCCTCTTCTGCTCGCTCGCGTATTTCTTAGTCCACTCTCTGGCATTTACCAAGAACAGCGGCTTGTTGTACTTATACTCTGAAGACTAAWATGTTAAGGAGCAGGAGAAAGACAAGAGACTTGAGTTAATACAGATATTGTGTGAGATATGGAGAGGCTGACACTGAGGTCTGGCTGCAGAACCACCCCCCAAAGCACTKCAACCGCCCCCAAAACGCYACAACCRCCCCCAAAACGCCACAACCGCCAATGCACAGCACTGAACCATTAAATAAAAGGGAATCTTGCCCATTTTGCCCGGGCAAAGGAAGCCTGGCCCGAGCGCAGCGTGCTGCTCCGCCAAGCCTGCGCCCACGGCGGCGGGACGGGAAGCGAGCGGCTCACGTACGATGTCGGCCATGAGGGGGTCGTCCGGGTTGGGCTCTGCCATCAGCAGCTGGATGGAGGTGAGCAGCGTGGAGATGTTCAGGGCCGGCCTCCACGCACCCTGCGCGAGAGCAGCACTTACAGGGGAGCAACCTGTGCGCGGGCTTCCTAGGGGAACCTCGGCACCTCYGTGCCCAACAGCGGAGGGAACAACCTCCATGCAACGTGGAAAACACCGGCTCTAATCTCAACACGCAGGGCCACCCCGCTGAGGAAACCCAGCGGACAACCACGGGCCGTGTCTGACATATCTGTGCCACGGCGGCGCCGGGACAGCCGGGCTGGTTTTCCAGAGGGCCACCTAACACCCGCTGGCTCCGCTCCAGCCTCGAAACAAAGGAGAAGCCTCACGCGAGCTTCGCCCGTGTCTCCTATGTACGTAAGTTGGTGGCAGCGGACATTTGATAAGGCTTTTACAGGCRAAAGATAAGGAGCTCGGTGTCCTCTCGGGCTCGCTTACCCTCGCATGAGTAGCACTATCTTACCTGGGGTGGTAACTTGAGAACATCCAGGCAAATCCTTCCAGCGGAGTCAATGTTCGGATGATAGATAGGGGTCAGAAAGCGAATCTTTGGAGGCTCAAACGGGTATCTGTAAGGGAAAAGCATCAAGAAAAAAATACATATAAATACATATGTTGTACTGCATTTGCTAGGTCACCCAAGTAGTGCCATCGCTTCCTTCTCCCAGCCTTTTGCTAAGAGATGCCCTTTCCCACAGGATTTTGGAGGAGGCAGTGCCTGACCCCTCGGATGCCTTCAGCTGTGTTGAGCAGCACTTTGCACATGGAGAGTTTTCCAGGAAGCMGCAAACAGGATAGGGAGCTTTCCACCCATGACTGAACTACTTTGCAGGAGGCTTTGAAGCAACGTGATTAAATTAGAGCTAATCTGCACATTCCTTGCAAGGAGAGACTCAAGCAGGGGCACCCTGTGTCCAAAAAGCCAATCCTGATTTTTAGCATATTTATATCAATCATCTTTCATGAATTAATGTATATTTGAAGGAAAAACACTACGCTACCTACTTTGCTGGAGTAATTTCAYGCCACTGCCCACTTACCTTTCAGGAACAACTATTTCCAGGTTGAATATTCCCTTCTCATACGGCGTGTCTGCACTGCCTAAAATCTCTTAAAGAATAAAAGAAAGAAAATACAATTAGGGTGAGCTTTTCTCTCCACACTTTGGCCAACCCTCGATACCTTCTGCCATTGCAAGCGCCAGTTTGAACTTTGGGAGGAGGCAAAGAGCAGCTTCCAGTGTCTGAGCCGTGATTTATCAGGGGCTAGGGGACACGAGCGGGACCGGGACACCAAGAGGCACCGTTTTGCACAAGTGTTTTGCACAAGTGCCGTTTTGCASAAGCATTTTGCACAAGAGGCGCCGTTTTGCACAACGTTTTGCACAAGGGACGTGTTTGGGGCAGGGCAGGTTAAGGCACCCGGGGCTGCTGCCTGGAAGGTCCCTGCTCGCAGGCAGYGCTGCGGCCGGGCCCGTGGGGCCGGGTGCGGGCAGGGGCGCGGAGGGGCCCCCGGCCCACGTACGTACGTGCGCGCAGCTCGCCCGGGCGCCGCTCGCTCGGCCAGCACGAGACGCCGGGCGGCGGCTCGGCCGCCAGCAGCGCCAGCTCCCTCGCCAGCCGCGACGCCCGCTGCATCCCGGCGCTCCGGGAGAGCCTGCGGGACACGGGGGGACGCTGGGAGCCGCCCCCCGGCACCCCCTGCAGCGCCGGGGGCCGCCCTGGGCTGCACCCCCCCCGACAA